AATGGCCTTATATTTTAGTGTGAAGTAAATATTTTTTATAATAATATTAGACGCAAAATTGTTTTGTAGTTAAACATACAGGAATTAATAAAAATTAGCAATTCTAATAAATAACAGAAGCTTTAATCCAAACTTTGGAAACTTGAAATACGCATGTGAAACAAATGTGATACTGCTAATGTTTCATTTTAAAACAAATTGGAAATGTTTCGTTGGATGGTTCCTGAATAGTTCATGAACTGGTTGGGAAATATGGAAATTATTAGGATAAAAAAAATTATATCTTTAGCTGTGTGTCTAGCGTAAACGTGATAAGTTACTACTTCCCCAGAAGAAATATCAATATGAAGTATATAAAAAACAAATAACAAAAATAAAATTTCTAGTTAATAATAATTTATTGACCAATAAATTGAATTCAAGCAGTCTATGTTTCTAGGGGTGTTACGAATAAATTCGTGTATTAATATACTAAATTGTCAAAAAAAGATTCATTTTACATAAAAATAATCGGTTTTATAGATTATTACACAATATCACTATTTGATATTAAACTTGTGTTTCTTCATCTATTTTTACTTGCGCCTCATCTTCCTGTTCTATAATTTTTTTATTTATTAATGTTTTTTTCAAGGTTCTCAATTCTTTATTTAATTTTTGCAACGTAACTTCCTGTTCATCAATCTTCATAAATTCGCGTAGTTTATATTGAACTACTACTGTTGAAGTAGCACGAAAATATGTATGCACATTATCAGTATAGTAAGTTACATTTCTTGAAAAAGATAAAAGCAATATAAAAACACATGCTTTAACAAAATAAAAATTGATTGGCCATTTTAGCAAGATATATAATGTCTGCAAAATATTTGGTGCATAGAATGCTGGAAAACCCATTACTAATAACCAAAAAATACAATTGCATATAAGAGAATAAATAGGTAACTAATACTTAACAGAGGATTTTATTGATAATGAAATTTGGTGATTATTTAATGAATAAAATTTTATACATACCAGCTAGTTTAATGAATGCGTAATTAAATAACAGAATAACAGAATATATAGTTAAGAAATATTAATAGAGAATTCTATTGATGATAACATGTGTTTATTTTATAAATAAGATTCTATACATACCAACTAGTTAATACGTAAATAAATAACAGAATAACAAAATAGATAAAAATATTTAATAGAGAATTCTATTGATGATAACATGTGGTGTCTATTTATGAATAAAATTCTATACATACCAACTAGTTAATTAATGCGTGAATAAATAACATAATAACAAAATAGATAAAAATATTTAATAGAGAATTCTATCGATGATAACATGTGGTGTCTATTTTATGAATAAAATTCTATACATACAAGCTAGTTAATTTAAATTACAAAATAGCAAAATATTTAATAAAGAATTCTATTGATGCTAACATGTGTTGTTTATTTTATGATAAATTTTATACATACTCCCTGGCAGTTAATGCGTAAATAAAAAACAGGATAACCGAATAGATAAGAAATATTTAATAGAGAATTCTATTGATGATTACATGTGTTGTTTATTTTATGATAAAATTTTATACTTACTCCCTGGTAGTTAATGTGTAAATGAATAACAGAATAGCCGAATAGATAAAAATATTTAATAAAGAATTTTATTGATGCTAACATGTGTTATTTATTTTATGAATAAAATTTTATACATACTAGCTGGTTAATTAATACGTGAATAAATAACAGAATAACAAAATAGATAAAAAAATATTTAATTGAGAATTCTATTGATGATA